TAAATATAATTATGCTTGAGCACTATTACGATCACTTGCTAATCACATTGAGATTGACGCTTGAGAACGACCTTAATCTATCGTATGATTTCGTTATTGTTTTATTATTGTTTGATCCTCTTGATTTACTATTTGATTTGATGACATAATGACGTAGTTTTTTGCGATTAGTAATCGTCAGTAGTATTTAAGGGAACGGGGTTTTTTCCAAGAAAGATAATTTCTGTTTTTTCTGGTTTTTCGTCCCCCCACCCAACCCAGTGTGAGACCATTAGGGTGTAGCCTGTCGAAATGACAATCATTGTTTAGCAGTTTTGGGTGAATCTTGGCCTGTCAGACGACGGTCAAATTTGAGATTTTTGGTAGGAAGTGGCCTGTCGGGACGACAGTCACGTTTGTATTGTGAGTGTGTGGCCTGTCGAGACGACAATCACGTTTGTTTTGAATTTAGTAAAACTGGCCTGTTGGACGACAGTCACGAGGAATTTCTTTTGGTTTTGCGGCGGGGTTTTTGGGAAATTCTGGTTTTTTTTTGCCCCGCCCGTCAAAATGGCCGTCAAATTAGCACATGCAGTTTCTGTAGTTTAGGCTTTTCTTTCGATACTCTCGAATTCTGCACTGTTAGTATGTATACCTTGTAGCACGATAGCAGCAGGGACAGATAGCCCATAGTTATTTTCCATTTATGTTTCATTATTTTTCCATTTGTAACACCCCTCGATGAGAGACAAAATCTTAAAGATTTAATTTATACAAAACAATATTGTAGTATTGTTTAACACTTGTGTTGTACATGTACTATATATAAATGATATATAATGTTAAGGTTATCGAATGGTAATTTTATCCATCGTAAATATTACTATACATCAAAAAGAAATGCCATTGATTTCGACAACTTAAGTTCATTTGTTACTTTAGGCGATACTACATTTATTTGTGACTTGGGTCTGTGCCGTCCAATTATTCAATCCACTAAAAAGGAAACTCACTTTCAATTATTGAAAAAGAGATCTATGGTGTCATTCCCTACGTTGCTCCTGAAATTCTATTTACGAAAACCTATACCAAAGCTTCTGATATTTACAGCTTCGGAATGTTAATGTATGAAGTGGCGACCGGTAAACCGCCATTTTATGATCAAGGACATGATTCAAAATTACTAATTGAAATTTGCAAAGGTCTTAGACCTTCGATTCCGAAAGGAATTCCAATGCTCTATGTTGATTTGATGAATCAGTGCTGGGATAATGAACCTCATAATCGACCTTCGGTTGAAAAAATTCGAAATATAATAAATGATTGGTACTGTGAAACCAAGTAACCACAATCAAAAATTGGTTCCTTATTTTTAGATGCTGACAAGGAATGTAAAAAGTTTCGAGAATCTAACTTTACGATCCACCCTAATGCTATTTATACAAGTCGACCTCTTAGCAAACACATATCCGAATGCATTACTTTGATTGATTCGGAACAAATAGAATTATTATTTGTTGTTGAATTCTTTAAAACGATAAGTCAGTCATCCCATTAAATCGGGATTAGTGTAACCAACGTTAGGGTGCAGGGGTCAAAAGAGACGGTTTAAATTTGGCGAGCGACAAGATAGAATTTCTGGATAGTCAACACTACTTTGAAACTATCAATTAACAAATACAAATTAGATAACCTCAACAATCCGGGATTACTGAAGTAATGTTGGTGGTTTTAGCAATAATTTTAGACTAGATTTAGGTACTTTGTAGACGAGTAATTATTAACACTTTAGATGCAATCTTATTTATAATGTGGCAAAATCTGTTTTATTAATTGTGCCAAAAAGTGTTGGCTGATGACCTTGAATGATATATATGACATTTATGACTTATCATAGGTCATTTGGTTATAACGAAGGTTAATATGATTTTGGCCGTTTAATATAGCCCGCTTTAAAGTCCTAAGTCATCATACGAAGCGAGCGCCAGGGAAAAACTGGTTCTTCGGAATTAGTAATAATGGTTGCCGATTGATATAAACCTCGGAGTAGATAGACACAGAGTGTTTAAATGAGTAACTCAAATAGACGGGTTAGAATGAATCACAGTAAAAAAATTCTTTTATCAATATTTGATATGACCGATATGACTTATGACCAAAATTAGGGTAGCTGCGCAACGTGTGACGCCGCGCAGGACCAGTACGATCACGCACACACGGCTCCATTATCGCTATCGACCCATTTTCCATTTTTTTTATTTTATTTTATTACTTTTTTTTTTGTTTTTATAACCCGAAAATTAGAAAGAAGTGGAAATCCTTACCATAGTAAGAAAAATCGAACATATTTAACATATTTAATATATTTCATATATCGTATATGTCGTATTTATTAAATTTAGTAAGCTCATATGAGCGTCATCAGAGAAACCTGTTATTGAGAACGAATTATGACAATTAATTTATCATGCAAAAGATCAAAATGTCGCAATAATTACATATTTTAAATAGCAATCAAAATTTCCCACACTCAGATCACGGTTTTCGGGTATTGCCAATCAAAAACGTTAAAACCGACGAACACTGAATTAGAACGGAACTATTACTGTTGTAATTTTCTCACAATCATTAATACCACTACATATGCATTATGAAGTAATTATAACATATCGATATGATATATTTATAATATCTACTAAATTAGGAAAAAAAGTGATAGCCATAATGCCTTCTAAAATAGGAAATAATATAGCGCACCAAAAAGTTGAACGGTACCATCCCTCCACATTTCATGTGATCGTACTGGTATAATAATTTAAATACATATATATTTTTTAGAAAATAAATAAATAAACCAATTAAATGAAATCAACCTTAGTGAAAAATAATAATAACCTTGCATGATAAATGCAAAAGCATGCATTAAGCCGCTAGATCACATAACTTCGAAAAACAAGAGAAAATATATATAAAAATAACAAGAACGGACATTTTAACAACAATAAATATTATCGTTGTATGCAACAAATATAATAATACTGCGCATAATAAATAAAATCATAGATTTCACTGAAAAGTAAAACCATTAATAATTCGATCTAGCAACGCGTTAATTTTTTTTAATGGATTAGATGTAAACTGTGCATGGGAAGTAGTATTGCTTGCTGCAAATATTGATTGCGACTTTTTTATGACTCAACTAGAGTTGTAACTTGCAGCAGGCAACTGTGTGTGCGGTGATTCAAAAGAATAACTATTTTATAATATCAGTAGCAGTAAATTGACATTATGATAGATTTTGTTGAGAAAAATCAGAAACATGAGTAATTTAAGTTTAGGTCAGATGAATCAACATTTGATCAATATGAATTGTGTACACGATTTTTTTTACTTTTTTTAGTAGAAGATCCTGTGGATTTTTTGTTCATTCTTAAAACTTCAGAGTAATATATACGTATATCGTGACGTCAATATGCGTAACAAATATGGCCAACCCCATCTATGTAACTTTTCATATGATTTCGCTCCAAAATAATCACATGAAAATTGTTACGTGGATAGCAGGGGATAAATCAGTTATATCCTGTGTAGTTGGATATAAGCGAAATTTGCAGTAAAATTATAACCAGCCGATTACACTTACTGCTTATACCAAACTGCCAGGATATAACTATTGCCTATACTCGGCAATAACGTGAGTTGTTTCGATTTTTCATATCGCTAAAGCTTTTTATGCGGTAATTTTATAAAGCATCATAAGCATAATTTTTTAAGAAACATTCCGCATAAAAATGTATAAGCGATTTGAAAATTGATACGTTTAATATGTGTTTCAATCTCATAAAAACTTCAGGAACCGTCAACTCGTCGTAGAAGCAAAATTTTGACAACTTGACCGGTAATAGTGTTCTTCATAATGCGCTCTACAAAGTTATCGGTTAGATTTCTAAAATCTCATAAATTGAAAGGTTTTGATACGCGAAAATTTTTTTTAAAAAATTTTATAATAATTAATTAAATATATTTAAAAAATATTTTTTATCTTATAAAAAATCATATTCTATATTATTAGTAAATTTTTATTTTATTTAAAAAATTTTAGAAAATTTTTTAAAATTGCAGGCAAATTTGCCTGTAAAACGCTTTAAGTGATATTAGCAATAATAAAATATGTTAGAAATACATTTTTATTTTGATAATTATACGCATAAACAAATAAGTTTACCTGCAAGTAAGACTATTAAGTCTCGCAATATATCGTGGTTCGATAGAATTCTGATTTAAGCAATACTTTTTTTAGCTTGAGATTTTTGATTATTCACTTTATACTTTTAAATGTCGTTGAAAATTCGAATCAATTTGTTAAATCTTAACATTCTTTTAAAATACATTGGAAAGTACGGTTAGAGCGTGCTATATTAAATCCAGAACTGAATAGTTTTTTAGCCACTAAGCACCGTAATTTGCGGCCCCTTGCTAGAGTGCCCGCCCACCATCAATTCTGCCAAATCAAACAGTAAATCGCCGGTCTGGGAGGTACTATTTGCCGAAATTACGGTAATTCGAATATTCGCATTATTATACTTTTTGATTGGTTTAAATGTTTAGTATATGGATATTCTCTTGGCAGATTTTATTGGTCATACATGCATGGATCATCTTTACTGCAGTACACTTATACCGCATATCCGGACTCTCCGTATAGGTCGGAACCAATAAAATAATGATCTTTGTGTAACAAAAACAAATAAAAAAACCACCAAACCGTAGTTAACACAGAATTTTACGATGATAACCTGCTTTTGGGCTCTAAATAAAAATATTC